CAATTAAGTATAGGGTGAGTCATAGGTTTAAGGCCTGAAAAGGGAAAACACGTAGCCTAGCCTATGGGTCTAAATGTTCAACTTAATCTTTTGAGTCGAATCCTCCATCTTTCTACACCTTTCGACCAGACTAGAACAACACAGCATTCGTTTTCACCAGTTGTGTGTCCTTCGAATGAACCAACTGTGTGTTCTTCGAATGACCCTTTTTAGCTGAATATGCCATTTTGAGTCTTCTTGTTTTTAATAACTTAGGCCCAAACCTTCGACCAGACTCCAAAGTAAGAGAACAATTATTCCCCAACTATGGCAAGTTCTTCGAATGGACCACCAAGTTATGTGTCATAATGCAGGACTATGGCGTATTGAAGGGTTTTACAGATGGATTCGAAGGTGATATGAAGGCACGTTTGAATCATACATGAAGATGAATTTGAAAGTCAAAGGAAGGTAGCCATTCATCCAATCGAAAACTTATGAATCCAAGGCAAACATGTGAGGGGCGAATGGTGCAATCAAATGACACTTTTCAGAAGGTTATTAACTTCTGAATCGAAGGAAGCTTTCAGAAGATTATTGACTTTTTGAATTGAAGAAAACCAAAAGGAGGCCTTTACTTCCTGAGTCGAAGGATATTCCTGGGTCGAAGGACATTCCTAAGTCGAAGGAGGTTCCTGAGTCGAGGGACACTGTTTCAAAGGGAAGCAAAAACTCAATTGAAGCTTGTATGAAGATCATTTCCTTCTGAGTCGAAGGAATCTTTCAATACCAAAATGAAAGATGTAACCCAAGTGGCATGAAGCCCTTGCTCAACTGAAGCTTGCATGTAGGCATGGCCAGAGATGAATGCCTAAACGAAGGCTTACACGCAGATATGCAGGAGGTGAATGCCCAAATGAAGGCTTGTATGTAGGAGGCACATTTGGCCACCAGATCATGGGATTCGATTGCAAGCATGCAGGCAACAAACTTGTCCAATCAAAAGGCTTGCCTTCTAGGGGGAACTTGTGGCAGAAAATTTGGTACTCAAAGCAAACATGCAGGCAGTGGAAGACACAAATGAAGCCTACAACAAGAAGTCCCATGCCCAGACGAAAGAGGCACGCTAGTAGCAACTTTTGAGCAATCGAAGGAGGTGCAAATTCCAATCTAATGGGTCTGAATCGAAGGAGACCTATTTTCCTCCAAATTTGTCAAAATGTTATTTTTATCTGTTTTCTCCCTTTTTGACAGTTTCCTTTTAATTCTGGTGCTGGAAAATCCCAATGTACTTGTGCAAGCTTGAATTTTGAAAATCATTGTGAGAGATGCCTTGAGAATTGAGAGGGCAAATTTTGGGGTACAACAAGTACCCATGTTCATTGCTTTCATCTTTTTCTCCACTTCTGCAGCAATATCCTCTTCAATTTTTAGTTGCTTATTCACTTCCAACTTTAAATATATCACTCCCTCTGGTTTTATTACAACTCTGTCATATAACTTCAAATGCTCATTTGCAGCAATGGCTTCAATAATCTTCTTCACACAAGTGGTTGTTGTAAAGTTGGATGAGCCATCGACGTCTGTATCAATAAGTTTCTTTGTCTTCATCCTGAGGCCATTTTCAAACATTTTCAGTTTCTCAATTGACCCATGTTGTGAGTGGGACACGCTACTAATAACCTCTTGAACCTCTTATAAGGATCACCTAGCGACTCTTCTTCCTTCTGTTTAAAATTCATGATATCATAACTTTTGTGAATGTAAACAGAAGCAGAAAAGTGTCCATCAAGGAATGTCTTCTCCGTTTGTTCCCAAGTGGTGATACTTCCAGCAGGCAATGAGTAAAACCACTCTTCAGCATCTTCAGATAGCGTGAACGCGAACATCCTTAATTTATTGGCTTCTTCAGAGTGCCCCTCAATCTTCAAAGTAGCACTCATGGTGAGCAATCTCTGCAAATGCTTATTGGCATTTTCATTGATCTTTCCGATGAAAGATATGTTCTCGAGATGGCGGATGGTTGAAGGATGCAGTTGAAAATTTGAAACATTGACCGATTGATTCACAATTGTCAACCGACCTGCTGGAGCATTTGCTCCTCCGTAATCCCAAAGAAGTCTCTCTGGTGGTGGTGGGTTTTCACCCATAGTTTTGGGTTCTGATTCTGAATATGAGTCTATATATCAAAAGGAAATTAAGCTAAGGATTTTCCTTGCATTCAAAGATTAGGAAAAATCAGTAATAACAAAAATATAAAAATTACAGAAAAGAAATTTTAGTTGCAAATCAACAAAATTTAATTGAACCCAAATTACACTCAATAACTAGGCAGTCTTCGGCAACAGCGCCAAAAACTTGATGGGAAAAATAGAAAGTGTATTATTTTGCCTCTTATAATAACATGGAGATCCCATGAATGTCGATCTCAAGGACTCCATGCAATTATTGAGTTCAATTCACATTCAATTAAACAAAAATTTAACTTAGGGTTTTGGTTTTGATATTGTCACTTATCAAAAGCAGAAATATAAAATGGCTTTTTCACATATATGAGGAGCATGCTAAAGTAAGGTGTATAATTTACTTTTCAACAAGTCCATACCCTTCAATTACCAACCCTTTAGATTATCTTCCCTTAAGTCCTTAGTGGGAAAACCTTTAACCATCCATCCTAAATTCTAAGTCCTTAGAGATATCTGATGGAGTCAAGCCTTTATTTTATCAAAGGTTAAATTCGGTAACTATAGGGTATCCCTAGTCCTAGGTGATATCTACTATAGTATCATTATATAAAAACCTTAACAACCACGGTCCAGCTGGTTGCTAACCCTAAATCAATCCTAATTTGTCCAATCAAGAAGGCATAAAAACATTGTACAATTAAATCGAATAAAGAAGACTTTATTAAAGAACTCAAGAATTCATAATCATTACAGATTCAAATCAGGGGCACCCCCTATCATTGGGGGATTTAGCTACTCATATTGTTCAAAATAATCACAAGACAAAATATAGACATTACAAGGATTTGGATGAACTTTAATCTTCAATTGCTTCCGCGCATGAAAATCTCCCGCTCTCCGAAAACCTTGACTTCTCCAATCTTCAATCGTGTAAACTATTCTTCACCGCCCTAAAAGTCTCCTTATTCCGTGTGAAAACTCATTTAAATAGTCACCATTCATCCAGGTCGGTTGAAAGTACCCAAAACGCTCTCACAGCTTAACATATGGAAAATTATGAAAAAAGTAGGAAATCTGCATCATAGGCTAACACGGCTCGTGTCATGCAACACGGTCGCCCGTGTTGGTCCCTAAGCTCTCAAATCTTCTTTTAAGGTCCCATGGGTTGCAACAAGGCCCGTGTTAGCCAACACGGCCGCCTGTGTTGCACCCTTGACTACCATCTTTCTTTATTCTCCCATCCTGACACGGCACATGCCAGGCGACACGGGTGGCTGTGTCAGGCCTCCTGTAGGTGGATTTTTGACTTTCTTCGAAACTCCGAGTTTTTGTACTTTTTTGCCCTGAATTGTCATGTTTTATTCCTCTGACCCTGAAAACACTAAAACACACAACCAAGGCATAAAATGCGGTAAAATGAAATAAAATACTCGGCAATAAAAGAAAATATAACTAAAATAACTGCTAAATATATGTGTAAAAACCACTGATCAATATGCAATTTGTTGAATGTGTTGTTTGATTGATCAATTCATATAGAATTTTTCTTTGATTTTTAAAGTTGAAATTGCTTTATTGTTTAGATTATAATCACTTTGGTTTTAAGTGTTTTTTCATATCAACTAAGCTCAAAGAAAATTCTAAAAAATTGATTGCGCGTGACATGTTTCATAAAGTGTCGAGTTATGTTTTTAATATGATTTCATTGTAAATATGAAACCATTGTGTTTGATATTAAACTATTAATTGATATATTATTATGTTGATTGATTTTATCATTATCTTAATTTCATATGGCTTGTGCATATTTGAGTTTCCAATAACTAGGTCCGTTTAGACTACTATTTTGATCTAGGCTAATAAATCTTCCGCTCAACATTGTTTTTCAAATAAGTTTTTAAGTAACCATTTTGAAATTTCATTTTTAATATGAGCATCTGTTCACTCCCTCTTGATTAGTTGTCGTAGTCTAACAAGTGGTATCAGAGCTCCGATTTATTCCGTGCTTCGAAACTCTTAGTAGAAAAATGGCGTACGAACCTAAAGGGGATTTCAAAACAGCCCCAAAATTTTTCCGGAAGAAAACTATAGTTATTGGAAAGGTTGTATGCATATTGATGTTAATTTATATGACAAGGATATGTGTGACGCTATTACTCAAAACAATGCTAATGGTGTTGTCACAACTAAGTCGGAAGCACTATGGAATAATGTTGATAAGAAAAGCACATGAAATCTCATTAATCGTTTGAACGCACTTGGTAATCTTATTTCAAATGAAATTGCTACTAACAAAGTTGTGATATGTCTTACTAGGATTTTTCTAATGAAGGTCACCGCGATCAAGGAAACTAATGATCTTACAATACTTGATCTCATTACATTGTTTGGTAAGTTTAAAGAACATGAGCAAGAACTTACTTTCTTAGACAAGCATGAGAAAAAACTTGAGAAGAAGAAGAAAAAGGAGAAAGACAGAGATAAGGAGGAAAGAACAAAGTCTAAAGCTCTTAGGGAATCAATTTTAAGGTCCACTAAAAGTGAGTACGTATACGATAGTGATTTTAGTGATGGTGAAGATTCAAATTGTCATTATGGTTGTACGAAAGGCTTCCCTAAATGCAACCAATTTTTCACTAACCCATAAGGACCTAATGAAGATTGGGTACCTAGCTTGATTTGTTATTTTTGTTGGAATATTTGTCTTAACTCTATGTAGATAATATGGGTTCTCATTTATGGTGGCTCAAGGCATGTAAACATATTCTAATTCTTGGTTTACAGGTCGGGGAAAATCACAGGAGGCAGAAAGTGTGGAAACCAATAGTTAGAAACATGAAGAATAGGATTTCAACTTGGAAAGGGAAGCTTTTGTCTATAAGGGATAGAATCATGTTGATCAACTCGGTCCTTAATTCAATTCCAATATATTATCTTTCGTTCTTCAAAATTCCAAAGATTGTATTAAAGAAGCTTATAAGAATTCAAAGAGAATTTCTTTGGAGTGGTGGTTTGGAGAAGAAGGGGATAGGTTTGTTAAATTAGAGTGAGGTTTTTAAGGCTAAGGAGCAGGGGGTTTAAACATTAGGTGTTTGGAAGCTTTCAACAATGCTTTGTTAAGTAAATGGAGGTGGCGTGTTTTGGTGGATAAAGAGGCATTGTGGAGACCGATTTTAGAGTATAGGTATGGTTGTTTGGAAGGAGCTGTCCTTGGGAGAATTACAGAAGAATTGGTAATGAAATCCTCGTTATGGTGGCGCAACATAGTTGTTTGTAGGTCTGAATGTGAGACGACATATTGGTTTTTGAATGGTGTTGTATGCATTCTAGGTTCGAGGCAATCAATAAAGTTTTGGCATAACAATTGGCTTGGTGGTATACCGTTCAAGGAGGTCTTTCCGGATGTGTTTGGCTGGTCGAACAAACAAGGCTCAACAATTATGCAAATGGGAGAATTTCAAATTAACAACTGGGTATGGAAATTGGGCACAAATCAAAGGAGGGTTCCAAAGTTGGTAGCATAACAATTGCAAGATTTAGAGGTAATCTTAGGTGGGATTAGTCAGGAGAAAGGTGATGAAGATAAATACAAATGGTTCAAAAGCGATAATGGCTCGTATTCGGTAAGTTCGGGGTACTTGGAGTTTATTAGCAGAAGATCCCTTCAGGCCTAAAGCGAGGAAACTTAGAAATATATATAGGTATTATGGAAACCAAGGGCACCATTGAAAATCTTGATTTATGGGTGGAGGTGCATAAAAATAAAATAGGAACCAAGGATCGGTTGGCTAAGAGAGGAATCTTAATTGATGATAGTGATAAGTTATGCATTTTTTGTCGGTTACATAATGAATCTCTTGATCATTTGTTGGTGCAATGTTTTCTTTCAAGAATGGTTTGGAATGATATAGAAACATGGCTTGGTGTAGCTCTGGTAGATTCAACATGGGTGGTGGAGCATATGTTTTCATTTCATAGGGTGTTGGGTGGGGCGGTTAAAGAGAATAAGAAATTGTTGGTTTGGCTTGCCACAGGGTGGGTGTTATGGAGCATGAGGAATGATATCCAATTTAATTCGGTGGTATTTCATGTTGGGGAGGTAGTGCATAGGGCTAAGTTGCTATCATGGTTATGGAATATGTTAGGAATTCCGATAAAAGTTACGTGTAATTTTATGTTATGGAGTCACTGGCCGATTGATTTCCTAAACTATTGATGTTGTATTGATGGGTGAGTACCCCTTGTACTCTTTTTGATAATTGAATTCCATTATTTATAAAAAATACATATTCTAATTATATTGTATATGGGGAAAGATGATGGATTATGTGATCTAGAAAGCAACAACAAGTTTTATTTTATTGGTAAAAGATACATAAATTAATTTTGATGTAATATCTGAGAACACTCGGAAAAGGTATTTTATTTCATGTTGTAGGTGTATCTTTAAGAGACATACTTAATGATTTCAAAGAAGGAATTGATCAACCCAAATCGGTGAAACCTGAGGAGGAGAAAGATAACTAACATGAAAAGGATAAAGATGAGAGTTCAATCAAAATGAATGATTGTCAAATTCATGACCTTTTGTGACTCATCACAAGTTACAATTTTGGGTACTTTGTCAAATTCAAAAGTGGTAAGATCATGTTGTTCTAAAATCTTTTGTGGCGTACTTTGCATTTGGTTCAACTTTCTTTCAAGAGTTCCTTGTAAAATGCAAGTGCATTCTCTGTCATATTGTACAGTGAGGTAGTATCGATTTAACTTTTGCTTTGTTAGTAAGTTCTCTCTTTTACCTGTTTATTTCTCTAAATACATGAAATACTTGGTGTATGATATATATATATATATATATATATATATATATATATATATATATATATATATATATATATATATATATATATATATATATATATATATATATATATATATATATATATATATATATATATATATATATATATATATATATATATATATATATATATATTATGAGTATTCATTTGTAAAATAATTCTTGATTGATAATCATGGTGACTTATCAATTTATATACTTATAATGATGTCATCATATTATATTTTCATGTGTTTTTATAAACACATATGTGTACATAAGCATGTTTACCTTCATTAAACATCAAGCATAACACATTTGATATTACATCATATTTGATTCTACTAACATGTGATTTGTCAAAGAGTATTCTAAGCTTAAGCAGGGATTATTTGAAATGAGTTTTATGGAAAGTTGAATTACTCTCCCGGACTAAAAATAAAGTAACTCAAGGAAGTAACACATACATGGGAAATTATCTTTACGATCATGTTGAAAAAGGGAATGTTATGTTCGATCATTTTGATAGTGAAAATCAACTTGTCGGTGTTTTCACAAGATGTTTGAAACCAAACTGTCTTTCAACAAACATAGGGAATTGAGGATTATTAAAGTCTCCAATGTTTCCTTCTTTATTATGATGCTTGCACTTTTATACTTTTGCTCTAACACTTTGTTTGAGTATTTACATCATGTGAGTGTAACTTTTATTCCATCAAGAGTGATGTAATATTACTCCAAATTTCTCTTTGAAAGTAAGATTTTTCTTAGTACATGTTTAGCTAATGAAAAATGCTTGTTATGTTCTCAAATAATAAAAACCATGAATGTTCATTTCCAAAATTTTGATTGATAACTATTGCGTGTTCTCAATATATATGCTTATAATTATTTCATGTATTAATTCTTTCACATTTGTATAAGTTTGTTCTTGTATGTACAAGTATGTGTTTTTATTATTATTTCTTGCATTTGTGCATGAGTTAAATGTAAGCGTGTTAATTGCATGCACGGTTCTTGTTGTAGTTGAGTCACATTTTATGACAATATTTTCATTTTGTTTTGAGTAGTGACATGTTCTTGTTGCTATGCTAGACACATGCGTGTGCGACATCGGGAGTTCCACGGTGATGTGTTACGTAATAGTGACGCTATAGAAGTAACTTGACCAGCATGCTCTTGCATCGTATTAATTAGTATTCATGCAATTGCATTACATGTTTGGTAATGTTTTATGCTTGTTATCTAATTAATTTTGCATCATTACATATATATGGGGATATGTAATTGTATGTTGTTCTTTGCAAAAACGCCCCTGAGTGATATATTAGTATTGGTATTGGAATATGATACTTCTCACGATTTGCCTTCTTTGTTTTTGATGTTATCAAAAAGGGAGAAGCATATGCGTGGTTAGGTTGGGAAGCACAAAGTCAGGGGGAGACTTCTATAACTACATGAAATACATCGTCTCAAGTTTTGCCATCATCAAAAGGGGGGAGTTTGTGAGTGCAACTTCACTATTAGATGTTTTGTATGATGTCAAAACTCAGAAAGCTAGCATTTCAGTGTGGTGGACGATATCCTTATGTCTTGTGGCACCCCCTTGCATTAGTGGTCTTAGGAATCATTTAAAATAAGTTTGAAATTGGTCATATTCGTGAAAAAACATTTTTTACATCAATTTTTATTGTATGTGTTGACACATAAGTATTTCAGGTCAACACATACTCAAGCTTTTAAGAAATTGCAGAAATGCTGATTTTATGTGTCAACACATACGAATTTCAGGTCGACACATGTACTGCATTTTTAAAGCATGTAGCCTCTGACTTGCTTAGGTCGACACATCCGTTTTTCAAGTAGACACATGCAGTTAGAATTTGATTTATGTGTCGACACATATAATTTTCAGGTCGACACATACTGTTTGATTGGGTCAATTTTTAAATTCTTTTTAATTCCGAAAATATCCTTTTTTTCATATAAACTTCCACAACTATAAATACATCATTCCAATTTGGTGAAACCATAAAACTAGCCTACTTTTCTCTTCATCTTCAACCTCTAACCTATGCATACACACTAAGATTACATTGTGATGATGTTCTGTTGGGGTGCCATCTAGAAGAGGATTGATAGTGTCCAGTTGAGTATTGGGTTGAGGTTTGTAAGGGTTTCATCTGGAAAAACTCTTTGTTAGGGTTTTCCCTCTATGATCCGCGTTGGTGTGGGGGTTTTGTGACAAGATCGATCAAGAAGGAATTTTCCATGTGAATTCCCTTGGAGTGTTTAAAATCTTTGCAAGGTAGTATCAATAAGCAGCATATAGAATTGAAGATCTTGTATGGATAGATTGGAATCGGATTTACTCAAGTGAAATCCCTTGGAGTTTTTGAAATCTTTGCAAAGATCCTTGGAGTGTTTAAAATCTTTGCAAGGAAGTAGCTTAAGCGGAAAATAGGTTGCATCTATTGGTGTTGGTCTTGATCAAAGATCAAAATAAGATAATGGGTTGAATCAACAATAAGCATTAGAGTTTGTGGAGTTTCTCTTGAACTCTTCTCTTGTATCAACTTTTTGCATAGTGTAGCAACTGGTTTTTTAATCAAGAGTCGTCACTATTAGTTTTTATCCTAGGGAAGGGAATCTAACAGAAAACCCTAATTCACAGACAGAGATTCTAGGTTTCGGACTCAATTAGATGAAAGAAAGGTGTTAGGCGCCTTTCATCCACCTTGTTCACAAGGATATTAGACTCTAGGTTTAGGTTTGGGGTAAACTGGATTTTAAGTTTTAATTAGAAAGAAAAGTGTCCTAATTTTTTAATAGGGGAAAGAGTTTTATTTTTAATAGGAGAAGGGTTTAAATTTTTTATAGAGGAAGGGTTTAAAGTTTTTATAGGGGAACTTACTACGATTTTTGATTGTATGCTACGTATCCTCTTAAGAGGAATCAGAGTCCCAACTCGTAGTTCGTATGGGGTTGGTGTTTTTTAGGAGGCTAGATTACGTGGGTGATGGTGTATGGAAAATAAGGTAGGACTTGGCCTACAGCCGTCCGATCACGATCACGCAGAGGATAACGAGGGAGTATGATAATTATTGTGAGCCAGCACGCATGGAATTGAAAGGGATTACATTTTGTTTTTATTCATTTACATTGTTTTGTTGTTACAGAAAACTCCACTTATTCATCTTCCTCTCTCTCGTACACACAAACCCTTTCACTCTCACTCACTTTAACCATAATTCCTAAACCACCACCGGCGGCACTCTACCAAAACCCCAACACGAATCTGACCCCCAAAACCCCCCAAATCCCAAAAATAACAACAAATCAACCAAATAAAAACGCTAAGTCCAGTTACCCTTTCGCGATTTCGCTTGCTCTCTGCCTTTGAATGTTCTGGATTTAGTATTAATCCTTGCTCTCCTTCGCTTTTGCAGGTTGCAGTGGAGCTTGAAGGTTGTGCGGCGGCGGATCAACGGAGATTGTGGTTTCAGATAATGAAACCCCAATCGTCCTTCTCTCGGATCTTCAACCAATAAAAAGGTTATTTTCTCTTTGGTGTTCTTCACGCAAGCCCTTCTCCATTCTTTTCTTTTTCGTCTTCTCTGTAACATCCTCTCTGTATTAAGCTTTTTCCTCTGTATTTTTTTATTCCCCTCGTACTTAGCCCGGGTGTGTGAATAGCGGAGATTTTGGACCAAATACACAGTTAATCAAAATATGCTTCGTAACCCTTTTTGAAAATTAATTGTTAAATTAATTTATTTATGAAAAATAATTTGACGTTGGTTAAATGTTTTTTATATACTAAATATAAAAATTCTTATTTAAATGCATAGTAAAAGATATTTTAATGCAATAGGCAAAATATATTTGAATGAATTAAAAAATGATATTTGATTCGATAATAATTAATAGTAATAATTAATATAATACTAAAATTATAAAAATAGGAATATATAATATAAAAATTATAAAATAAAAATAAAAAGAAAATAAAACGCAAAGGGGGTGTTAATTAGGTTGAGGTGGTAAAATAGGAGGTGCTAACAACAAGGGCCTGAATTCAGATATTGAATTCAAGCCCAAAAGGCAGGAGGTGTACTTTTTTGTTCACGCAGTAAAAAGGGGTGTATAAAAAATCGGGCCCAAGTTCAGATATTGAACTGGGCCCAATAGGCTGAAGGTTTTAATATCTTTGTAAAATATTAATTTAATTATGAAATTGTTTGAATTTATGTATAAGATCGATGATTTGAATTATTAAATTGATTGAAAAATCCCAATAATTATGTATAAGGAATATTTTTGTTATTCTCGACTTTTCACTTAACCTAATAATAAAACTAACATATTTTTTTATT